GCCGGGGGCGGGCTCCTGCGGGGGTGCCGGGGGTCGGGCGGGCGCGGGGGTCTTCAGCGGGGTCCGGGGGTCGGCGCCCCCGGGAGAGGGGGTCCGGGGGTGAAATCTCGGCCCCGGCTTTGCCCCTGGGGGTCCCCGGGTGACAACCCTGCCAAACACCCCCCATCCCCAAAAGTTTCTCAGCGGATTTGGGCTGTACTCAGCAAGCGCACTACAGCCCCCAACGCAGATTTGAAAAAAAATCAGCTGATGGTTGTTTTCTGACTGGTCGGCAGACTGCCGACAGTTCGGCCCTACCAGTCGGCTGCAATACGGTCGGCGGTCGGGGTTGGAGGTCAGCAGGTATGCAACCCTGTATCAATTAAAATAAAAAAAAGAAGATTCACAGAGATTTGTTGTAGTCATTTGTTTATCTTAGAAGGGTAAAAGAAGCAAAGCTATAAGCATTCATCTTTCTAAAGAGGGTGGATGTCAACGGACAGCTCCACGTGCAGCTCATTCACGTGCAGCAGGGATGTTCAACATACAACGCAGTAGCATCATGCCTCTCCCATTCCCCAAGGTTGCGTGCATATCTAGCTATGGCAGCTCATCCACGTGCAGCAGGGATGTTCAACGGACAACGCACTAGCATCATCCCTCTCCCATCATATCCACTCCCACGGATGAAGTCGCTGTCCAACTGGTGCCCCAACAAGGGCCTCCCAGATTCATCACCAACCCAGGATGTGGAGATGAAGGTTCACCATAGCCAAAGGTAGGTCGCTCCCCCATCCTCCTCTTCTACCTCTACTCTCCTCCTCCACCTCCCTGCATAGCCTACTAGCTTGAGGTTCTTCTCCCTCTACCTCCATAGCCGAGGAGTACTCACTTCTACCATTACGACTCGATGAAGGTCTTTTCTTCCCTTACCCTCAGCTCCTCCTTCAACATAGAGCTCCACCTAACTCTCCCTCAGGGCGGTGCAGCAGTCTGACTGTCGGGCGAATGCCCGGATATTTGGCTTGGAATCGTTGATTACAACGAGTAGGAAACTCCTCAGAGCCTATATGCCAGGCATTGCCAGCAACCACATAATAATATAAAGAAAGATATTGCGCTATTTGCATGCAACAGTATACGCACAACTCTCGGCCGCCAGTACCTCTACCTGGGCACCCTCAGGCTCTACTGGTGCACTAGGTCCTACTTAAGTTTGTGCCTTTCAGCGGGAATATCATTGCAGCCTGGCATTCGCATCCAGGGCCTGTGTAACGCCCGCGAGGCTGAGGGAGAGCCGAGGGAGAGGAGAGAGAGAGGGAGAGAGGGAGAGAGTGAGAGCACACACACACACTCACTCACTTGACACGACTGAGGGTCAGACGCAGACACAGTGGCAAGGGCACAAAGTCGAAGTCTTGGATTCCTGAATGCCGAAACAGCAAGTCACACGGAGTACGAATACAGCAGCTGGAAACCGGTACGAGACTGGTCCCCGTACCATACGGGGAGCCGGTATAAGTACCGGTGACACGTACGGTACCAGGGGCATTTCTGCAAAGGCCCCGAGGGCAGAACTGAAATGCGGTATTTGAAAATGGCGTCCGAATTGCATCATGGCGCCAGTTGTCCAAAATCCTACGGTACCAAAGGAGGGGTTTGGAAAAAGGGTGCCAGGCCGAAAACGGGATGCAGCCGAAACAGCAAAAAGATAGACCAGGGATCGAGCCCTGGCGGAGTCCGTAACAGCCTGAAACTACATTCAGGCACTGCACCACACTGTCCATACTGAATCTAATATCTATTACCCAATATCTACTCTCCATTGTCAAGTCAGCCTCAGATAAACAAGTTTACACGTCAAATCGGTCTCAACGCCTGCGATGGTTCAGACTAAAGATGGTAATAGCATTTTTAGCCTGAACCCAAGGGCCATATTCGGTCGTTCATCAGAACGACCGGCCCTGAGACTCAGGCACCAAACCAGGGTTTTGGGGAACAGCCTATCTTTAGACTGTTCCCACGCCARCCTCGAGCAGGCTGCTGCACGCCAGCCCCTGGCACACTTCGGCATTGGCAAGAGCTGCCTCCTCGGCCTGCTCGCCCTCCTGCAGTCAGCAGGCAGGCCGAGGTAGTACATAGGACTTCCCAGGCACTTCACGGGAAGGCAGTTCGGCAGTTGTAGTCTTCAGGATTCGGRAGCAGCACTCTGGAGGGAGCGCTGCGTTGTAGTGGAGTAGCGTTAGCTGTAGTCTTCGGCGCTGGGCGCCATAGCCAGATAGTGGTACAGAGAGGATGGGCGGAGGCCCGGGAGTACTTACCTGCAGCGCCGTTGTTCCATCTTCGTCTTCAAGGTACCTGCAGCACGGCGCCAACATCACAGGTTAGTACCTGGTTCGTAACAGTGAGAGAGAGAGAGAGTTCTCTTCTTCCTCTTCTCAGTCCACCATCTTCTTCTTACCCTCTCAACTTCTGACTTCCCTGCAGTTGCAGACTACGAGAGAAGAGATACCGGGCTTGGTGACATATGATCCAGACTCGACTTTCAGGGGTTCAGACATGGCAACGAGGGACTATTTGGGATTGGTGACCAAGACTTGGTGTTAACGACATTCCCATCTTCATCCCTCCTTTCGTCTGATCCTTATCTCTTCGTCTGTGTATGTCTGGACCTGGCGCTCTCTTCCTGTGTACAAGCGCCAGGCTCCTTCACACTTAGTGATGGGTACACTGCATGTTTAGTCTGAGTTCAAACATTGGTTGGGCTAGTCTAGCCCTCTGCTTCGCTACTTGATACCCACGTGAATGAGGTCAGTCCTAGTCAGGTCAGTCTTTGTATCAAGTCTTCCCTGCGCTCTTCATCATCTTTATGTATGAATGAGAATGTACATTGCTGTTCGAGATTCTCGTAACCACATTGTCTATTCAGTCCTTTTCATTACATTGCAGATTCTCAGTTTATTGCATACATTGCATATCTGTGCATGTAACAGTTGGTATCGGAGCTTTTGAACGTGAATAAGGACGATCTGATCTGACACGTGTGCGGGGATAAAAAAGCTAGCTAGTCTTTTCTGTTTGATTAGGACATACCAGTTCGACCCCAAAATCACGATCTTGACCTTACTACAAAAAAAAAAAATCGAAATTTTCTTCTTTTCTCGGATTTTATTTTCTCGCTATTCTGCTGTGGAAAATCGTTATGCCGCAACATCTGAAATTTCCATTTTCGTTTTGTTTCTGAAAATTTGAAATTTCGTTGTTGAAAATCCGAAATATATTTCTTTTTGAAAGTTTCGATTTCCTGTTGCATTTCCCGTTACTTAGGAAATCGGAATATCTTCTTCTCTGAATTTCGTTTTTCTGAAAACGGTACGGGAATTACCTCCTGCACGTACTATTTTCAAAACTGCAAATATTCCCATCGGAATAAATCTGAATAGTTGTGATTTCTGTTCGGACTTTCTTCGCAGTTCTTGGATTCTGTCAGTTGGTTCTATAAATCGGTTGCAGTTCAAGTCGAAATTTTTTTTCTGCTTTCGGTGATCATTCGAACTCCAAGGGAGGTTGGGAGACCTACCGAACTTGCAAAAAATCGGGATTTTTTTTATTATCTCGAATTTTTTTTGCAAAGTTCAAACTTTTCTACTTTGATTAGTGGCTCCTTATCTAAGTGTGAGTTGGGCGATTATCCCACCCACCCCTCCCCACCTATGTTGTTGCCATCTCTGCCTTTATCTGCTCTGTGTGTATCCGGGTACCCCGTCAGACGGCATTGGTAAGCTGCCACGTCAGCAGGCCACGTCAGCAGACCACGTCAGCAGGCCACGTCAGCAGACCACGTTAGTAGACCACATCAGCAGGCCACGTCAGCCGGCCACGTCAGCAGGACACGTCAGCAGGACACATCAGCAGTACCACATCAGCAGGCCGGTCTGGTCTATGCTGCTGCATTCACAGACAGCAGTCATGGACCAGAGGGCCGGGGAAACAGACGAGGCCTATCAGGCCCGCATGTTAGCCTGGTGCACCGAAACTAAGAAGCGAGCAGATGACACTGCAGCTGCAGCAAAGAGGAAGGCAGAGGAAGCCGAACAGGCACGGCTGCTGGCAGATGAGCAACGGCGCCAGCAGGCCGAAGCAGCAGCAAGGGCTGCCGATGAAGAGAGACATCAACGTCGCGAGAAGATCTTCACCGGAGAGCCGGCGATTCTCAACATGGCAGCAGCATGGCGAACCGAGGCTGAGGAAGGCAAGTTGGAGGACAGCGCCAACAAGATAGCACTCCTCCTCTCGCACCTCACCGATATCCTGGCCACCTGCATTACACAGCAGGAGGAGATCCATGGCCTCGACAACTCGGTAGCTGATCTCCAAGACCGCCTTCAGCGTCTGGAGCAGCGACCGGTCGCCGCCGCCGACGCCAGCTCTTCCAACACCGCCGACCGCCTCAATGCTTTGGAGATGGACGTCGGTTCACTCAAGGATGGCGTACAATCGCAGCAGACCGCGACACAACAATTGCAGCAGCGGCTCTGCACCACCGCCACCACCTTGAGTTCCGAACCACGCGAGACAACTCCAAAATTTGATGGGCAGGAGATCTTCTGCGACGCAACGAAGACAGATCCTATTCCATGGTTCCGCAAGTTCGAGCTCACGCTGCAGTTGGCCAACCTCAAGGAACACAAGCACCACGCTTACTTGTACTCTCGCTCAGGGGGCGCGTGCCAGGCCTGGTTGGACAACCTCCTATCCAAGTACGGAGACTTGCACACCAAGATCAGTTGGGATGATCTGAAGGCGGCGTGGCACAAGCGGTTCCAGGTGGAGCCGCCAGAGATCAAGGCCATGGACAAGCTCATGGTTTTCGAGCAGGGCTCGCTGCCGAGCGCGGACTGGATCGCCGAGTACCAACGCTTGACGTCCGTCCCAGACATCCAGATGGGCTTCAAAGCCATCCGCCACTATTTCATCTCAAGGTCATGTCCGACATTGAGCAATGCCCTGACGCATGTCGAGGACACCTTGACGACGACGGCGGAGTTATTCGACAAGGCGGCGCAGATCATTATCACGAACAAGGAGGCCAAGGACCTCCGTTCTTCTGCGTCAGGCCCGAACAGGGACCAGCATCGGCCAAGAGTGGTCGTGGTCGCAGCGGCAACGCCCGTCGACCAATCCAGCGAGGCTGCGTCTGCCAGTGAAGGGGACAAATTCGCAGCAGCCCGGGAAGGTGGCCGCCCCGGCAGAGGCCGAGGTCGCGGCAAGACGAAGACACACACCGTTTCTAGCCCCGGACCCGGTGCAGCAGCTCAGACAGGCCCATGGACCCCGTATGGCATCTCCGAGTCCGCATACAAGGCGCGTGAGAGATTCCACTATTGCCTTTGGTGCAACAGCGATCTTCATCAGACGCAGGTTTGCCCATTGAAAGGCAAGGGCAAACAGGGAAACTGAGCACCGCCAAGAGTGACGCGACGACACTCTCGACGCCTTCGGAACTGGTTTCTTCGCGAGTAACCAGCCTTCATTCCGAGGCGCACGCGGAAGTCGACAGTCCTCCGCTCCTACTTTCTTTCGAGGACTATGCTGCCCGACTCGTTCCAACGCTGGGTTCTCAAGCTCAAGGACAAGGAGTGTGTGCGGTTTCTTCTCCGTCCGGCAACAGCGACAGTTCGTCTTCAAGTGGTGATTCACGGGATTCGGCGCGCGAGTTCAATATAGAGGCATTGAACCCGCTCACGTCTGAGGACTTTGCATGGCTTCCTCTCCCAACCACAGGCTGCTTGCCGGGACCGCAATGCGCAGCACTTAGCGCTCATCTCCACACTTACCTTTCCTTCTATGCACCACCAACTTCGCCGACGGATGACGAAGTCGCGGTGGGGGACATCCTGGCATATATTACCAAGGTGGCCCGCGAGTTTCGCACGCAGCGGTACGATAACAACAATGCACCGCTCATGTATGTCCGCATCCAGGTTGGGCAAGCGTCCTGCAGCGCTTTGTTGGATAGCGGCGCGACTCGCAACTTCATGAGCCAGTCTTTTATGCAAAGGGCTGGCCTTGGCGCTCAGGTTCGGAGGAAGGCAAACCCGACGGCGATCAAGTTTGCGGATGGTAAGACGCAGCAACTTCTCGACCGTTACATCGAGGCCGTACCGGTCTACTTCGCACCTCATGCATGCGAACCGGTAACATTCGATATTCTCGACACGGACTTCGACATCATTTTGGGAATGCCTTGGCTCGCAAGTGTGGATCACACGGTCAACTTCCATCGGCGGACTCTTAGCGTTCGCGACGCCTTCGGCACGGAAGTGGCGTGTACTATTCCTCTACCGCACTCTTCAATCCGGTGCCAAGTGGTGACGGCCAAATCATTCCGGGCAACTTGCGCTTACGAGCAGCTCGAGGAGATCGGCCTATGTTTCCTACGGACCGTCGCGGTAGCCGACTCTTCACCCACGGACTTGTCTTCGGACCCCCGTGTGGTACGGTTGCTGGACGAGTTCGCCGACATCTTCGAGTCACCTACCGGTGTGGTGCCGGATCGGCCGATCTCTCACGAGATCATTCTTGAGGCCGGTGTCGTGCCACCAAAAGGTTGCATCTAGCTTGAGGTACTCCGCGCACAACTCGACGATTTGTTGGCCAAGGGCTGGATCCGCCCGAGTAGCTCCCCATATGGAGCACCAGTTCTCTTCGTCAGGAAGAAGAACAAGGATCTGCGATTGTGCATCGACTACCGCAAGCTCAACGCGCAGACTGTCAAGAATGCGGGGCCTCTTCCTCGCATCGACGATCTTCTTGAGCGGCTGGGCGGTGCCAAGTACTTCTCCAAGCTGGATTTAAAATCAGGCTATCATCAGATCTCGATTCAGCCGACCGATCGCTACAAAACCGCGTTTAAGACGCGGTACGGGCATTTTGAGTGGGTGGTCATGCCTTTTGGCCTCACCAACGCCCCGGCGACCTTTCAGGCGGCTATGACCAACGAGTTTCGTGCAATGTTGGACCGGTTTGTGCTGGTCTACTTAGACGATATTCTCGTCTATTGGAGGATCATCTGGGGTACCTTCGACGAGTGTTGGAGACGCTCCGCCGTGCCAAGTACAAGGCCAACCGCGACAAGTGTGAGTTTGTTCGGCAGGAGCTGGAATACTTGGGCCATTTTGTCACACCGGAGGGCATCAGTCCACTATCGGACAAGATTTAGGTCGTCAAGGAGTGGCCGGAGCCTCGGAACGTCACGGATGTTCGCTCATTCCTTGGTCTCACCGGCTACTATCAGCGCTTCATCAAAGGCTACTCCAAGATCGC